GTAGGGAAATCTCAAGAAAAAAGACAAGGTGGAGTCAGGGCTAAGAGGTAACTAAACAACTGTAAGAGGGTCCTAACACAGAAAGACTTCGTGGTACTAATGTTTTGACCTAATACCAACCTACAGTTCGGCTGTAGACTATCAGTCCCTGCTTACATGTACATTGTCCCTTAGGGTGTCCTAACCCAGTAGTACTGAGTAAGTGGTTCACAAACCAGATGGAGACGTTCATCACAGTGCAGTTTACAACAACACAACACAAGTCAGGCTGCAACCTGGACCTTAGTGGGGGAAGGGGTTAGGAAATCCACAGGACGGAACCTCCCTCTGCCCTGAGCATTGCAAACTATGGCACATTGACGAAGCTCATAGTGCAAGTCAGCAGGTGACCCCATGTGGCCGGCTGCGCAGTTCGAGTCTCAGAACCAGTAGCCTGAAAATCACGCTGGCTGCCGGTGTGTGCGAACCCAAAAACCCAAGAGGAGAGTGGAGAAGGGATGGCGGCATGGCCAACCCCTTAGGGGGTGATCTGTCACTTTTCCTCTGTCTCCCTCTGGTGAGCACATGTGCCTTGTGGCAAAGACCCTAAAAAAAAAAAAAAAAAAGAAGAAGAAAAGGAAAGGAAAAAAAAGAAAAGAAAAGAAAAGAAAAGAAAAGAAAAGCTAATAATGCAATCATTTAAAACCAACTATGAACCCTTAAATAAAAACTGGTTCCCTTTTTCTTAGGGGATTTACTGGGGTGGGGGCAGGGTCAAAGCGAAAATGGAGAAGCTGAGAATCCTAGGAGGCTTGGTCTTTGTGGGAAAAATCCCATTTTTCCATCTGCTTTTTAAATTACTATTTTTTTAAATTCATGATGGCATGTACTTGCGCCTGTGAGAATAAGGAGGGGGTGAGGTGGGGGGACTGAGGAGGGCCCTCTCCACAGGATCTGGTCATGCTGCGAGCCCCTTCCTCCAAGTCCTCCAGCCCCTTGGTTCTTGGGCACTCATGAGCATGCCGGCCATATCTCAGGGCAACCCAGGTTGGGATTTGAACTAGGGTCACCATGTGGGCTACAGTTTCTCTAGAGCAGCACCTTACACCTTGCACCACGGAGCTGGCCACCTCCTGCTTTTGGTAAGCCTTGCTCCCATCCCCCCGACCCCCTACCTCGGCCATGACAATGAGAAACTGGCTAGAGGATGCTGCTATGCTATTTGAGTACCTTCCATTGCAAAATCTGCTTTTGTCCAGAATTTGGAATGGGTTGTTACCATGGCTTGAGGCTACCCAGTGACTCCGAAATATAGGGAACTGTCACCAGAACAACTGAAGTGCTTAAATGACTTGAAATACTTGACATAGCTTTCTACTTCTCTCCAATAACAAGACCTTGATTCTCAAAGATCCCCCCAGAAGTCAGCGCAAGAGTCCTCAGTAGGCTGCTAATCTATAACTCCTTTTAATTTACAAAAATTAGTTATTTCTTCCTTATTCGTAATCCTTTTTCTTCTCTCTTGGGCCTCTAGGGAAATTGCCGAGAGCAATTTAGTGTCTTCAGGTGATAGCGCCAAACATCATCTGGGCTTACAGGGTCAACCTAACCTATCCAAAGGTCACAAAGTCTGATGGCCCAGGGGCTGGCAGAGGCTACCAGGCAGACGAAGCCTGGAGCACATCAAATGGGAGCTGGGGTGGCCCTCCACAACCTCCTGCCCTCTCTGGAAAGGGCCGCCACCACTCAGCTTTGGGGACAGTGAGTTCAGGTCCCAAGCTGCTAGATCTCCTAATTTGGGGGAAGAGAAAGGAAATAATCTGATTTTTAAATGTCAGTGACTAATTTGATTAAAACAACCCTATTCTGCATCAACTGGAAGGACTGCTTCCAACTGCTGAATTTTGGCGCTTTCCAAATTGGTTTTCTGAGAGTGCAGGGGGTAGCCTGGACAAGGACAAAGTGGAGAGGGGAGGGGTAGACTGGCCATCCACTCCCACCCCAGCCTCAACAATTCTGATGCGATCTGCTTTAGCTCCCCCATGGAAGCTTTCATATGGGGGTGAAAAAAGTTCTGTTGATTAATAAGGTTTAAAAACCACTGAATATGCCAGGCACATGTGTGTGTGCGTGCCCAAGATCCCAAGAGGAGAATGGAGGAGAAGGGATTGCAGAGTGGCCATCTGCACTGGGGGGTGATTTCTCTTTTTCTGTTTCTCTGCGTGTCTCCAGTGAGCACACGCACCTTATAGCAAAAATCTCTCCCCCGCCAAAAAAAATAAATTAAAAGCCACTGGAATCCTCCAGACTAGGAGAGCAAGGCCCTGAGAAGGGAAGCGTCCTGCCATGTGGTACGTGGCAGGAAGATGTTGAAGACCCAGGTCCCAGGTCTCCTGACCCGCAGGCCTCGGCTTGCCCAATGCCCAGCTCTCCCTGATAGCAGGCTGCATGGTTACCTCCAGCTGCTCGAGGGGGACAGCTTCCTGGGCTGACACACACAGGTTCTCAGTGTCAGGCACTTTTTATCTGCACCCTCAGGCTGAGCCTTACTCTCCAGTTCTCAGAGGAGTCACCTGAGGGTCATCCTAAGAGAGAGATCTCTCCATGAAAAATGCTCATCTTAATCATCCCACCTGAAAGTCTGCATCGACTGGACTGGGAGGCAAAGCCAAGCTCAGAGAAGCTGCTCATAAATACTGGCATTTGGGGAGGAAGTCCTTTGGCATCCCAAGGAAGTGATTGACAGGATGCCCTATTTATTGGTGAGCAACCCGAGGCCCCAACAGGGCCATGCCCACATTTTCCAGAGGCTGAAGCAAGACCCTGTTCCACAACTCCTCCCTAGAGATAGGTCTTCGGATGGGTGGGGGCCCCCTTTGGACAGCTATTTCAGGAATGTCAAGAGGATCCTCTGCCTGCTCCTAAGTATTTTCAGCCAGTTCCCTGCCTTCAAGGCTCAAGATAAAAAAGGCAATATTTCCACTAAGTTATAAAAGGCTAGTGGCAGTACATTCCAAAGATTGGTCTTGTTAGGGTCCAGGGAAAGATGGTGGGCGGGAGGAGAGGCAGGGTGGTCAGGTGGCTCAGTCTGTACTTTGGAACTTTTTAAATCCCATCAATATACTATCTAGTCCAATGCATCATCCGTTTTCAGTGAGGGTTACTGCAAATGTCTAGACACATTGTAAGAAGACCTCAGTGGGCAGGATGCCACAGCACCCTTCTACAGTCCCAGCGACTAGGGAGGCTGAGGCAACAACCTAAGGAGACTCCATCTCTTAAAGAAAAGGAAATAATGATCCTGGCAAAAGGCTCACCCCTCTCCTCACTCTCTGATTTAGCCTCCTTGGCTAATACCATTGCCTCAGGCTGCCTCAAAAGGACACTGAACCCCTGGGACCAGCAGTTAGCGTAATGGCTATGTCGCTGGACTCCCATGTAGTCGACCGCGGTTCGCGTCCCAGACCTGGTGGCTTAAAACTTACGCCGGGCGCGTGTGCATGTGTGCCCAAGATCCCAAGAGGAGAATGGAGGAGAAGGGATTGCAGCGTGGCCATCCCCCCTGGGGGGTGATTTCTCGTTTTCTCTCTCTCTCTCTCTCTGTCTGTCTGTGAGTGCCCACGCCCTATAGCGAGAAAACCTCTCCAAAAAAAAAAAAAAAAAAGAACACTGAACCCCAAGGCCTAGAAGATCCCAGCTGGTGGTACCAAGCAAACCAAGCTTTCACTAGAGCTGTGAGCCCTTCAGAGCAAGCAAAATGGTAATTCGGGGAGACCTGGCCTCAACCCCAGGCAGGCAGAGAAGCTACTTACCTGGAGCCACATGATCAGGGGCAGTTCTGAGAAGCTCTTGCAGCGGTCGGTGGCATAATAGAGCCACCAGAACATGTGGGCATCCTCACGGACAGTCACGTAGCCCCAGACTTCCTTGCCCTCCTCTGCAGGCCGGTCGATGACAGCTCCTGAAACAGAAGCTCATTTTTACTTTCCTGAAGCCTAACTAATGTCCAGGTAAATGCCAAGCCTGAGAGAGGTGGCCATGCTAAGCTAGAGATGGCTTATTTTATAGTCCAGGCAATTCGCTCACTCCAATATATTGTAGGGACAAGGAGAAAGTTCTCAACTAGGAAAAAAGAAATTAAACTGAATAGTGGCATAAGAGTTTGCAGTTCCCTTTCTCTATACCTTTCTGTACTGTGTGGATTCTCAGCAATAACCAGATATATCCACATTTTGAGGAAAAAAGAAGTCTCAGAATGTGGTGTGTTGGTTTTCATATAATCTACCCATGTAGATTAAAAAAAAAAAATCCCCCAAGTCCAATTTTTCTTAGTTAACTTTTCTAGCATCTACAAAACACGTATTGGAAAAGAGTACATTAAATACATTTTCCATGTCACTTTTTGCTAAAGTAACAACTTCCAAATTACAGTATCTTTTTAAAATTTTCTCTCAAAAACCACTCTGTGGATAGAAAAACAAACAAAAAAGCTGATGTTAAAAGATGTTGGGGGACCAGCAGATGGCATAATGATTATGTCACTGGACTCCTGTGTAGTTGACCATGGCTCGAATCCCGGACCTGGTGCTTAAAACACACCATGTACATGTGTGTGTGTGTGCACAAAATCCCAAGAGAAGAATGGAGAAAAGGGATTATGGCATGGCCATTCCCCCTGGGAGGTGACTTCTCCCTTTCTGTCTCTATCTCTGTCCTTCCAGAGAGCCCATACACCCTATAGCAAAAAACTGCTTCTCTGGAAAAAAAAAAAAAAAAAAACCACAAAAAAACTCATGCCAGTGTGGGTGCATGCGTGCCCAAAATCCCAAGAGAAAAATGGAGACAGGCTTGTAGCATGGCCATCCCCCTGGGGGGAAGGGTGATTTCTCACTTTCTGTCTCTGTCTCTGTCTAGGAGTCCTCTGGGGACTGGAATAGTCTGCCTTTCACTTCCTCCTTTCTTAAATTTCAGGACCAGTCCCAACAGCACATGGGAAATGGGAGCACATGAGGAGACAGTGCTGTCTTATCAAAAAGAATAGCTACTAAAAAGAAAAAAAAAAAAATCAGAAAGTACCCAAGGGGCAAAAGAGAACGGCCAGAACTGTAAAGTTGTGCTTATCGGGTTCTACATACAAGGAGCGCAGGATTGCAGTCTCCTTGACAAGGACAGTTAAGACAGGGCCCCTTTTAAGCCAGCCCCCTGCACTTCTCCCTCCCCTGGCTGTGACCACAGTTAAAATGTGGGGGCCAGCAGGTGGTGTGGTGGTGAAGGCGCTGGACAGTCCCACACAGCTGACCACAGTTCAAGTCCTGGATCTGGTGGCTTGCTTTCTCACTTTCCCTCTGTGTCTTTCTCTGGTCAAATCAAAATGAATGAATGAGTAAATAAAATTAAAGTAAATATTTTAAAAAAATGTGGGGGACAACATATTTTACAACATTTCCCAGCTACCAGCTGAAAGCCAGGTGATCCCCCCTTCTTTCACAAGAAAGGGAAAACAAGAACTGTTACACAACCCGAGATCACAAGGCAAGTTTGTGGTTGGTTTGAATTCTCAGATCTTCATTCAGACCAGAAGGCATTTTGCTGAATGTAAAGAGTGAGGATCAATTTGCAAGTTGGCCTATTAAACACAACATTCTAGCCAAAGAAGAGGTGGAGGAAGATGTTATATTTGTGTGTGTTCTGAACAAGCAGAGGTAGACAGCCTTATCTCGATAAAATGGCCCATCCTGGTAGGGGTTTTATGGTCTTTGGGACTGGGTATTTTAGTTCAGAACAGAAAGACCTCACGTCATCATTCGGCAGCCAATCACAGCA